AGCGGCCACGAGGAGAGCCGCGAACGACTTCAGCCGCTCCCTGCGGACGCTGACGTGCGTGGACTTGGGCGCCTGCCGTGAGACCGAACCGTGCAAAGAGTAGCATGGGGGCCACGGGTCCTGCGGGCAACGGGTCCTGGACCGTGGGGCCTTCCCCCAGGACGAGCCCCTCATCCTGAGTCGTTGTCACGGTCCCGAGGCCACGACGGAGGGCCCCGAGAGCCCGAGAACGGCGACAAGCCTCGGGACCCGCTTCCCTCAGGACCCGCTTCCCCCATGGCCAAGAGAAAGAACGAACGGCACAGGCAGCAGCCTCTGGGCCTCCGCGCGGCTTCCTCGCGTCCGCGCCGGACGCGCCCCCCGGTGCGGGGAGCGGGCGCTTAGGCGGCGCGCGGAGGCGCCGCCAGGGGGGGGGGGCCACCGCAGATCCAAGAGATCCGCGCGGACCTGCGCCAGGGGGGGGGCCTCCGCACGGCGCTCTTCTCTAGCTCGAAGCCTGCAGGATTGGACGATGCTGTGGTCCATGGACACTGCATCAGACGAGCACAAGACAGCTCGCCGCCTGGGATCCCCTGGAAGCCCGAGCGGCGAAGATGGATCTGGCTCGGCCCAGTAGAAAGTGCCAGGCCCACCTCTCGCCGCCGGTTGATACGTAAGCTGCGTGCTCGCCCGCTGGGAAGAAAGCCCGCCTCCTGCTGATTGCGCCACGGGTGGCGCGATCGGCCGCCGGGAGCAAAAACGGCCTCCTGCTGGTGGCGCCACAGGTGCCGTGCTCTCGGCAGCTGAAAATCAAGCGGCCTGCTATCGCTTGCACCATAAGTTGCGCGATTTGCCGCCAGGACAGGAAGGGCATCGTACCGATGGCGGCATGCTCTGCACGCTCGGCCGCCACGAATCCAACGGCTCCCCTCCGGTTGCGCCATATGTTGTGTGCTCGGCCGCCGCGAATACAACGGCCTGCCATTGGTTGCGCCATGGGTTTGCGCGCTCGGCCGCCGGGAAAAGGCCACATACTGGTTGCGCCGTCGGCTGCGCGCTCGGCGGCCAGGAGTCACACAGCTTCCTACTGGTTGCGCCATAGGTTGCGCGCACGGTCGCTAGAATTGAAAGGGCCTCCTACTGGTTGCGCCATACTGGTTGAGCCATAGGTCTCGCGCATCAAACTGCCTGCATTGCGCGCCATGGGTTGCGTGCTCGACCGCCGAGAATCGAGCGCGGTCGGCCGCCGCGAAGAACGCGACCTGCCATCGGTTGCGCCATAGGTTGCGCACTCGGCCGCCATCAACGAAACGGCCTGCTACTAGCTGAGCCGTAAGCTGCGCGCTCGGAGGCCTGGATCTATCGGTTGCGCCATGCGCTGCGCGCTCGTCGGCCGACAAGAAAACGGCTGCCTAACGGAGGCGATCAGTCCACTCCAGTCAGTCCAGGCAGTGCAGGCAGTCCTGTCCGTTCAGTGAGCCAGCGCAGTCTTCTCAAACTTCCTTGCGGGAAACAATTTCGGGCGACGTACGAGGAAAAAAAGAAACTCCAGACCACCCCCTGGACAACCCGGACATTCCATCCAATGGAGACAATAAGCGTCCCAGCATGCAATCGTAGCCAGCGCTCGGGACGGGAGCACTATTTCGAATCAGGGACGTCGCCGGCGCCCAATCGGCGGGGCCATCCCTAATCCCACCAGCACTTTATTGCGTGAGTGCTAGCGGGTGTTCTCTTCCGTCCCCCCTTTTGCCCCTTCGGGGAGTGGCTTACCCATCCCCCTACCCCTACCCCTGGAACCCGCATGGGGGAGTCGCGACCGACTAGAGCGTCCAAGAACGCCTCGGCGAGAAGGCAAAAATCAGTGTTTTTAGTAAGATGTCGGCCACAATTTCGCCTCCTTGAGGGGAGGGGGGCTAATATGGTACCCCCCACGTATTTGATCATTCTCCTTCAAGATGGCCCAAGATGGCCCCCTAAGGGTGCCCCAAGAGGGCCCCAAGAGGCGCCAAGAAGGCCCTACGAGGCCCCATGAGGTCCCCAAGAGGCTCCCTCACAAGAGAGCCCCGAGAGGCCCCAAGAGGCTCCACGGAGCCACCCAAGACGCTCCGCGAGGCCTCTGGGACCGCCAAAAGGCCCCTGAGACGCCTCAATAGACCCCAAGAAACTGTCAAGAGACATCTGAAGAGACTTCCAGAGACATCCAAGAGGCCTCTGGTCTTTCTGCTCGCTCTCCTCTTCCTCCTCCTCATCCTCCTCCTCCTCCTCATCCTCATCCTCCTCTCCCTCCTCCTCCTCCTCCTCCCCCTCCTCCTCCCCCTCCTCCTCCTCCTCCTCCTCCTCCTCCTCCTCCTCCTCCTCCTCCTCCCTCATCCTCCTCCGTAGCCATTTTGGCTTTAGCCTTTCCGTAGGCCCACTGCTCCTGGACCTTGTCCCCCGGCGTACCCTGGGACCCCAGCTTGACGGGGCTTTCGGCTCGGGTGACGGCGACGGGGGGCGGCCAGACGGCGTGGCGGCCTTGTCCTCTCCGTGCCGAGGAGATCCGCACCCTCGACCCCTCTGCAGCGCCGCGCGCCGCGCGGCGCCGCCGCCCGTAGGCTTGCGCAGCCGCCATTCGTGCTCTCGGCGGCGACGACGCGGGCATTCCTGGCTCTTGGCGCGACCGCGAGGCCGCGGCGCACCCCGTGCTGCAGCTTCGGGCAGCGGGGCGCCGCGTCCCAGGGAGGCTGCGGCGGCGCCGCAACGCGGCCTGGCATGCCGCCGAGTTTCCGCCCGGCGGGTTCGCCCACGCCGACGATGCGGCAACCACTCGGGCAGCCGCGGGCCCACGGCTCCGCGGCGTTGCCTCGGCAGCCGCCCCCTGCACCCCCGCACCCTCGGCCCCGCGGCCTGCCGGTGCGGCCTCGCCCGTGAAGGAGCTCAGGAAGGAGGCGCCGTCGTGGCCTTGCGGCTGGGTTGGGGCGTGCGACGTCGATGCCCTCCTGGAGGATTTACGGCCGTCTGCTCGCGGCGTTGCGGCCGAGTGGGTCGTCGAGCGTGAGAAGGGCGGCCCGCGGTGCAGGAGCATGAGCGGGAGCTGCAGCAGGAGGAGCGTCCTGGAGCCTGCCGCGGTGGCTGGCGCTGTCGAAGTGGCCTTCTCAGTGGTGTGCCCGCCGACAGTGCCGGTGCTGGCGAGTGCGGCCAGGACTGCGCATCCATCGTGGACAAAAACGCCCGCGTGCAGCGGCGAGGCCCAGAGCGTCGTCGTGCGCGAGGAGGACTGCGCGATGGCCGTGGAGAGGGGCGTGGTGGCGGACGGGCTCCACGACGGCATCGTGCGTACGGAGGACATCGTGGCCTCGGGGTCTGGCAGTGGCGGGCGGGCTTGCTCGTCAGATCAGGGGGTTACTGTCTAGGAAGACCAGGTCATCGCCTCGGACCTGGCCTTCGAGAGCGGCATGGTGGAGCTGGAGGTTGTGAGCGAGAACTGCTCGCTCGGCGTGTACCAGTGCCCCGCTCGGCACGAACTCGTTCTCCGCCGCCGCCCGCCGTTCGCCTTCGTCCGCGAGTGGTGCTCGAAAACATTCGACAAGCGGACGGCCACGAGGTGGTGCGCGCGGTGCCGCTACACCGTATGCCTCGACTGCGTCGGATGAGCTGTGCGCGGAGGCAGCGGGGAGCGTGACCCGCCAGGACCCTGATATCTGGGGCCCTGGAGGTCGTCTGCATGCAGACGGCAGCCAGGGCTCCTTTGATGCTGATCCATCCATCCATCCATCCATCCATCCATCCATGCATCTATCCTCCTCCTCCTCCTCCTCCTCCTCCTCCTCCTCCTCCTCCTCCTCCTCCTCCTCCTCCTCCTCCTCCTCCTCCTCCTCCGTCCTTCGATTTTGTTTCTTCCTCCATCCTCCCCCTCCTGGGGTACGTCGGCCTACCAAGCCCTTTATTACACTGCATGCTCCTCCACATCCCTGAGCAGGGCAACTCGCCTGGACATCGTCCCTGGATGGGCTGGTGGGTGTTTTTTTATTTGTTTACAGCCGCAGGCGGAAGCGCCAGCGGCGGAAGGTCGCGGGCGGGCTACGGCCGCGACTAAATTGCCGAGCGCGCGCGGGGGCCGCGGATCAGGCGGCGGGGGGGGGGCAGCGCCCAGGGCGGCGGAGCCGACGTGCAGTCCAGGGAGCCTGAGACAGCCCCAGAACGGGCATGCAAGGGTGCATCCAGGGAGCCTGAAGCCAGGCACCGAGGAGACCAGGCGCGGCCAAAATGGCGCGAGAGGCGTTCCCAGAAGTCCAAATGCGTGGTGGGGTTACGCGAAGCGTCTAGAAGAAAGGATGTGGCCAGCGTTTACACGAGAGTTTCATTCCCCACCAGGGTCGCGGCCGTCGCGCGAACGAAAGCACCAAGCGCAATTCTGGATGTGGCAACGAACGAACGAACGAACCACCACATCGGACAGCTGTCCAGGCCTGCTAAGACCAGGTGGGTGCATGGCCTCCTGTAGACATGCAGACATGCATAGAAAAGTTATGCATCTGCGCAACACACAACAGGTCACGAGTTACGACGGAGGAAGAGAGAAGGAGGAAGTCCTGGTTGTGAGTGCCGGCGAAGTGCTGAGCGCAGGCAGGAGCGCCATTCCCGATCAGGGAGGTGGATAGGTGCTCCAGCCGCAGCACCAGTGCCCAGACAGGCCAGCACCCAGCGCCGAAGAGAGCAGCACAAACCCCATCGGGGATGCGGCCAGCGCTCGAGAGGCAGCATCATGCCCAATCGAGGATGAAGGCTCTTTGAGGAGGAGGAGGAGGAGGAGGAGGAGGAGGAGGAGGAGTGAGAGCACCGTCCCAATCAGGGATGTATTCGGCGCTCATGCTCAGGCGACGGCACCGCTCCTCAGAGGCAATCTGGCGAGTGCTCCGGCGAAAGCATCACTCCCGAGCAGAGACGTGGCAGAAGCGCGAGTCTAAGCATCGCTCCGACATCAGGGTCTGGACGGAACGAAAGTGCAGGCCGTGCCAGCTGTCATCATCCTCCTTCGGATCCTCCTTCTCGTCCTCCTCTTCCTTGCTCCTCCCGAACATCCCCAGCCTTACCCCCGTCCCCGTCCTCCTCCTCCAACTCCTTTTCCTTCTCCCCTTCCTTTCCCTCCTCCTCCTTCTCCTCCTCCTCCTTCTCATCATCATCCTCGTCCTCCTCCTCCTCCTCCTCATCATCATCCTCCTCCTCCTCCCGAACATCCCCAGCCTTACCCCCGTCCCCGTCCTCCTCCTCCTCCTCCAACTCCTTCTCCTTCTCCCCTTCCTCTCCCTCCTCCTCCTTCTCCTCCTTCTCCTTCTCATCCTCCTCCTCCTCCTCATCATCCTCCTCCTCATCTCCCCCTACATCGCCACTCTCCTCCTCCGTCTCGAACGAGGGTCGAACTGGCTCAAGCATCACGCGCGGCAACCAAGCCCTGGAAGTATGCTGCGAGGGGGTGGGAAGAAGCGGGGAAACCAAGAGGGTGGAGGGACGGAAAGTAGGGAGGACACAGAGTGATATTTGTATGGGAAGGATGGAAGCGTGGACGTATGGATCAAAAAAGGTTTGCAAACATGTGTATGTATATATACACACACATGGGGGTACGGAGGTGGAGATATCAATGGACCTAGGCGTGACGGTATGATTAAATGACAAGGTGGAGGTGCGGAAGTGTGGATGTAGAAAGACTGAATGTACGGAGGTTCGGACGTTGACAGTATGGGCACACGCAGGTATGGATGATGAGAGGTGAGGCGCGGATTTGGAGGTGGGGGAGATTGGATACATGGAGGTATGGTGATACAGAGCTGAGGGTATCTGGAGGTATAGAAGTATGGACAGCTGGGGCCACAGGGTACGGGGGCATCGAGCGGCCGAACAATGTGTGCGGGAGAAGACAAGAACTGAGGTGTTCGTGTAAGAGTTCATGGAAGTATGAATGAATGGGGCTATGGATGCACGGATGTGGGTAAAAACTGATATATGGAACGATGGACGCGTAGTTTCTTTCAACATACCTCCTCCTCCTCGCCTGACAACCAGACGTGGTGGTAGGGCGGGCTGGGCTGGGCGGGCCGCCTGGGAGTTCCTCACAATATGTGGCCGTGAAGCTTGAAACCTCCGACGCTTGCCAAGATAGAAGACAACCTTTTCGAAATCGGGCCCTCGCGCCTCAGCACCGCGCCCATGTGCCACTAGCGCATGGAGCAGTGACAAGGATGGAGGCGGTTCCTTTTCAAAATGGGGTTCTCGCTCGAGCCTTCCTGAGCGTGTAACCAGAGATCCAAAAACCTGCGCAGCCATTACACGGATGGGGCTCGCCATTTTCAACACAGGGGGGCATCGCTTGACAATCGTTTAAGCTGTATTAGGGGAACAAGAAATGACATAAACATAAAAACGGGAGGTCCGCGCGGATTTCTCGGATCGGCGCTGGACCCCCCTCCCTGGCGCGCGGAGCGCGCCAGGGGCGGCACCGGAGGCGCCGCCGGGGGGCCCCAGCGCCGATCCGAGAAATCCGCGCGGACCTCCGAGTTGTTATGTTTATGTCACTGTTTGTTCCCCTGTGTATGATCAAAAATTTGCGAACTGCCTACTTCGCGCTAGAAGGATGCAAGGCAGCTCCTTTTCAAAACGGGGCTCTCGCCCGAACGGAAGGCCCCTCGACTGCTGGCCGTTCGGAAGGGGGCGTTTCCCGCAATGGCGAAGAAGCCTTGCGAGAACTCATGAGGTGGACACCTGGGCCGGGAGAGGACGAGGATCAGGAGGAGGAGGAGGAGGAGGAGGAGATGGAGGTGGAGGTGGAGGAGGAGGAGGTGGAGGTGGAAGTGGAGGTGGAGGCGGAGGAGCAGGAGGAGGAGGAGGCGGAGGACCATCGCGGATATGGTGTCTTGCAGCATCGCTGATGCATCTTCGGTTTACTCTGGCCCATCTCCCCTTGTCTTCAGCCCTCGTTTGCGACACTGCCCTAAATCCACCCACCCACCCGCCCCCTCGTCCACTGCAGGATGGTGCCGCTTACGGGCGCACGGGCTCCCCCATGTTCCGCCCCGCTGCCGGCCAGGGAATACCTTTCCTCCAGCGACAGCAGCTGGTGGGCGCATTACGCGTGTCACTAACCCACCGCCCTTGCCCTCTTAGGAGGTCCAGCGCCGCTGCAACACAGTGGCTCGCACGCCTTCTGTCTTGTTGTGTCCTCCTCGTTCCCCTACAACTCTCCCTCCCGCCCCCTTCCCCCTCCTCCTCTTCCTCCTCCTCATCCTCCTCATCCTCCTCCTCCTCCTCCTCCTCCTCCTCCTCCTCCTCCTCCTCCTCCTCCTCCTCCTCCTCCTCCTCCGCGTGTCCTTGTTCGTTTTCCTCATCATCCGCCTCATCCTGTTCCTTCTCCCTGTCCTTCTCCCCCTCGTCCTCCCCCCATCCGCTTCTTGAGGTGACCCGCCGCCGACAGCACAGCGCGGGCGCCTCACTGTACCATTGGTTGCCGCTGGCCTCGATGGTCATGCACCTCTGCTGCACGACCTGCAGCGCGCAGGGGGGGTCCGAGGTAGTCAGGCGGCCCCCCAGACCCCAGGGGAGGGTCAGGAACAGGAGGATCAGGAGGAGGTCACGCCAAGTCAGGGCACAGGCAGTCCACGAAATCCCCTCGATAAAAAGACAAACGGGCGGAGGACAAGGAGGAGGAGGAGAAAGAGGAGGAAGAAAAGAAGGGGGGAAGAGGACGTGGAGGAGGTGGAGGAGGTGGAGGAGGCGGAGGAGGTGGAGGAGGTAGAGGAAGAGCCCCTTTCAACCCTATATTGCGCTGACAGCGGGGTCGTTGGGCACAGGTGATCCATGGGCGCAGATTGCAGCAGGATTCCACAAATCATGAATTCGCCGCGCAGGCTGCGGATTCATCTTCAATGCCTCTGAAGCAGGAGTACGAGGAGGAGAAGGAGGATCAGGGAGGAGGAAGAGTGAGGATGGAGGATGGGAGGGAGCGAAAAGGGGGAAGGAGAGACACGGGGATGAGGAGGATGAGGAAGAGGACAATGAGGAGGAGGAGCAAGAAGAGCAGGAGTAGCAGAAGGAGGAGGTAAAAAAGGTAAAAGCGTTTCGGGATGAGTTCGAACCTAACCACAACAGAGTTGGGGCACGCGACCTTCTGCATCTCTGCGCGCAGGCTATATACATGCATGGCCGTCGGGTCTATCACCCGCCGTCTGCCTGGGGCACTCCCACGACCCCTGGGCGAAGGCGGGGGGAAGGCGGGGGAGGGGGGGCGCGGACTCGATCCGAAAGGCGAACGACAGCGTGGTGGTCGACGGCTTGCGGGCGCAGCCGGCCCCGAGCACCTCACTCCAGCAGAGGGAAGCAGGTCGCTCGCCCCCCCCCCCTTCCCCCCACGGCGCGCGGCGCGCGGCCTCGCACATCGATGGGCCGCTGGCCCCACGCGCGTGGGCGGCGGTGGGGAGGCCGCGCACTCCTCGCATCTCGACCACCACCCTCCTCCCCCCCCCCCTCCCCCAAAGGCAAGGGGGAAACACCACTAGCACAGGGGCAGGAGGAGGGGAAGACGGGCAGGGCGAGAACCAGGAGCAGGCGGAAGGGAGACGCCAGCAGGCTCGCGCAGCGCGCGACGAGAGGAGGCCGGGGACAAGCAGGCAGGACCGACCGAGGGAGGGGCAGAGCGAGCAGGCCCGCAAGGAGACAACGCGAGGAGAAGGGGAATCTGGGGGCCGAGTTGAAGGCGAGGCGCGCCTGTTTCGCTTAAAACTCGGAATCAACTAGAACAAACTAAAACTCGGAAGCCGCAAAGCTGAAGTGCATGACTAAGGACTGCTGGGGGGCTCCACTCATCTCCTCGATCCCGGACATCCCCTGGTTCGTTTGTTCATGTATCTTGCGTGTGTGATTTCTGTTTTGCTCGTTGCTCCTCCGTCGTTCCATCTACAACGCAGCCGCACCATCGCATGGTCACTTGTCCGGTTGGTCGTTACTTTTCTGGTTCCCTTTTTGCCATGAGACCCCAGCTGGCCGCTGGTTGTCCGACCCCCAGGCCCACACCCCTGCCGACCCCTTGGCCCGAGCCCGAAGGCTGGATATTTAGAGCCCAACCTCCCAAGGAGTCGACCCCTGCCCGCGGGCAGCGGCCGCAAGCAGGAAGGAAGGGGGGCGAAACTGCGAGCGGGGAACACAGACTGACGAAATCGATATTCCCGTCATCGCCCCGAAAATAATTGACGCATGGATCCGCCTCCCGTCCACTGTAATTGACTTCTGGGCAATGAATATGGCCACACAGATTGCGGATTGGCAATGGTCCGCTGCCCCCCATTCCTAGTGCTCGTGAGCGCCCTTAAACTGGCAGGCTCCAATAATCAGCTGCTCCGTCTCACTGCCGGCATCGTTGCCGCCCCCTCCACTGCCCTCTGAACTGTTCCGCGGCGGGCCCCCCCACGATGATCCGACCGGGGAAGCGCTCTCCGGCTGGCTGGAGCCCTCGCCCTCGATAGATATCCCATGGTTCCTTGAACTTCCAGCCGCGAGCGCCCCACGCCACTGGGCGCCAGGGATCTAGCGGCGGGCGGGGACCCAGCCATAAGCCGTTCGCGCCAATGGATTCCTAAAATCGAACGGCGGGCGCATCGGAATCTACCCAAAAGCTGGCCACGCCCCTGAATTCGTTGGGCCCCGCGCCTGGCCCGTCTTCTTCTTCTTCTTGCCCTCGCTTTTGTCACTCATCTGCTGAGTGGCGTCTCACTTCGAGGGCGCCCTGCCGTCGTCGCGGATGGACTCGTCGACCCTGCGCCTGTCGCACGCGGGCTCGATGGGGAGCCCCCGCCCCGCGCGCCTCTCCGCCACGATGGCCCCGGCCCGCTCCAAATAGTATATGCACTGCTGGATGCCCCAATTCTGGCTCTCTGGGATACATCATGTCCAAATGCCCCCCATCTCCTCCGCCGCGTCAACGCACGAGCACGGCCTGCAAGAAACCAGGCTCATCCCGACGCGCTTCTCGTGGCTTGCCACGTCGCGGACTACGAAAGCGAGGTCGATGCACCGTTGGGATGCCATCGCGTCGAACTTCTCGATAGTCTCGGTGGCCCAAACGGCCATGTATTCCGGCTCGCCCACCCCCTCCTGGCTGGCCTCCTCGACCCGCGACCGCCGCCAGAAGCCCCGGGCCCGATCTCCGCCGGCGGCGCTGCCGCCCCCGCGGCCGAGGTTGGAAGAGCGGAGGCCGAAAAGACAACCAAAGAAACTGGACCAGCACTGGTTTCAAGACTCTTGGCCCCCGCGCTCGTCGGCGCGCAGGTAGGCGGCGGGTTGGCGGGAGGGGGGTCGGCAAGCACGCGCCAAGACGCCGGCGTCGCTGAGGCGCCGGCGCGCCGGTCGGCGGGTGTCCTCGCCCCTCTCGGGGCCCCCTCCTCTCGACACGACCTCGGAGTCTTTGAAACCAGGCCCGGCGCGCGCAACCACGCCGCCAGGACTGCCGCATGAGTCGAAGAAAGGCGGGGGGGGGGGCGCCTGGGAGGCGGTAAGTGGGTGATAGATATACAAACGACTCCGCAAGCTTCGCCGGCGTCGGCCAGGTGCTCGTCGAACCTGAAATACGTTCTGCAAACCCCCGAAATACCCACGGTCGCCTGCGATTCGTCGTCGACCGGCCTGACGACATCGGCGCGCTAGCCGCAAAACTCTTTGTTTAGGCCGCCCTGCCTGGCCATTTCTTCTAGCCGCGGAAATCCCCCTGGACCTTTGCTTCTCGCAATCGCCCCCCGTTCCCCCCGGGCCCCGCAGGAGGGGGGGCGCTCCCGGCCACGGTCGAAAGAGGCCCGTCTGCAGGGCGACGCCGAAGCTGGCTCGCGCCGCCGGCTGGCCGCCACTGGTCGCCACGCCCGCTGCCGAGCAGCTGCCTCTCCACCGCGCACCCCGGCTTCGCCCGCGGGCCCTTGCCCCGCCCCACCTCTGCGCCGAGACCTGGCAGCACGCGCCCCCAGGCCGGTTCGAAGAACAGAGGAAGAATTGCCCCAAGCCGCCAGCGCGCCCCCGCGCGAGACGCCGCGCCCCATGGCCACTCTCACGCGCGGCAACGGATTGACGATGCACGACATTGCCCGTCGCGTCGCCGTCGCCCCCCTGGCCAGCGGGATTGCGCGATTCCGCCATTCCGCGCGTCGACGCCGTCTCCGCCGCGAAGCGCCGCTCATTATCTGGCGACGCCGCCTGATCCCACTGTAGCGGCTTTTTCCAATACGAGGCCATCGCGGCGCCCATCATTCCCTCCGACACAAGCCCCTCGCCCAGGCGCTCGATCGCCGCCGTGACCAGGGCCGAGACCACGCGCGCCAGCCGCGCCCCGAGCTCGCTGCCTTCGCCTGCCGCGCGCGCCCGCATCGCGCAGTCGCCCCCTGGTTGGGGCGCCTCTCTGAGCAGCGACGTCGACGCTGCCCAGCCCCCTTCAGATCCTGCGCGGCGAGGAGAGAGAGAGAGAGAGAGAGAGAGAGAGAGAGAGAGAGAGAGAGAGAGAGAGAGAGAGAGAGAGAGAGAGAGAGAGAGAGAGAGAGAGAGAGAGAGAGAGAGAGAGAGAGAGAGAGAGAGAGAGAGAGAGAGAGAGAGAGAGAGAGAGAGAGAGAGAGAGAGAGAGAGAGAGAGAGAGAGAGAGAGAGAGAGAGAGAGAGAGAGAGAGAGAGAGAGAGAGAGAGAGAGAGAGATGAGAGAGAGAGAGAGATAGAGAGAGAGAGAGAGAGAGAGAGAGAGAGAGAGAGAGAGAGAGAGAGAGAGAGAGAGAGAGAGAGAGAGAGAGAGGAGAGAGAGAGAGAGAGAGAGAGAGAGAGAGAGAGAGAGAGAGAGAAGAGAGAGAGAGAGAGAGAGAGAGAGAGAGAGAGAGAGAGAGAGAGAGAGAGAGAGAGAGAGAGAGGAGAGAGAGAGAGAGAGAGAGAGAGAGAGAGAGAGAGGAGAGAGAGAGAGAGAGAGAGAGAGAGAGAGAGAGAGAGAGAGAGAGAGAGAGAGAGAGAGAGAGAGGAGAGAGAGAGAGAGAGAGAGAGAGAGAGAGAGAGAGAGAGAGAGAGGAGAGAGAAGAGAGAGAGAGAGAGAGAGAGAGAGAGAGAGAGAGAGAGAGAGAGAGAGAGTGAGAGAGAGCCCGCACGCATGCTGCTCTGGCCCCGTCCGTCTCCGCGCCTGCCTCCTTCTGGCGCGGGTGGCCCTCTGCCCCCGGTGAAGCGCCGAACGAAATCTCGCTGTCCTCGGCTGCCACCTCCGACTGGGCGCCCACGACGGCCTCCACCTGCGCGGCCCATCCCGCCGCCCCCCCCTCTGCCATCTGCCACTCGCGGGCTGGCCATCGCGCCCCCCCCCCCCCCCCCCATCGCAAGCTGGCCACGGAGGGGGGCCATCCGCGACGGCAGCGGGCGCGGATCTGGAAAACCTGTAAAGATTGAGCCACGCGGCCTCCAAGTCCCGAGGGACGTCTACCTCGCGCGCCCATCTGTTTCTGTCGCGATAGCAGATTCCACGACCCTCTACCGACCGGGCGGCGC